GCACACACACACACTGCACACACTACACACACTGCACCCACTACACACACTACACACACACACTGCACACACACACTACACACACACTGCACACACACTACACACACACACTGCACACACTACACTACACACACTGGTCGTTTAATCGTTGCTTTATTGCCTGTTTTTCTCGAGTCGCAAGTCTCCTGGCGGTGATAACAGCGGACGTGCTAGGAGCGCGGAGTGACGGACAACGCTGACCTTAGACCGCCAACGCAGATGGAGTGGTGGGGCCGGCGTTGGAGCTCGCAACGCGATCGACATTTCACTATTTGGGCCACGATGGCAACTGTTGATTTTCCTACCGACGAGGAATGCCAAAAGTGGGAAATAAGTTGATTGTGAGCAGGGCCGGATAAAAGCGTCGGGGGCTTTAGGGGCCTCCGCCAGCTGGAGGGCCTCCAGAGAAGAAGTGAAAAGCTATTTCATTTTGTGAATGCTGAATTGTATTTGTTGTTAGGCTTGTAAAAAATACAATTGTATTTTTCTTTAACTTTGTATTCCTTTTTGAAAATATTACTGGGGGGGCCTCGCAGTACCTGTAGCCCAGGGGCCTACAACATCTTCATCCGGCCCTGCTTGTGAGAGTATAAATTGAATCTCCGTCACCGCATTGGAATCGTTTTCCACAAATCGTGATATTGCGAGGATCGGCTCACGATCAGAGTGGCCTGCAAATGAGGTTATCGTCTCAAAGAAGCGTCTCGGTATTGCCCTGCTGCGGTTTGGTCCGGGGGAAGATTCCCCCGCAACTGCTCCTTGTGCGGTACAAGACAGGTAGGACGCTGACGCTTGCAATAAACAAAAAATATGCGACGTTGATTTCGTGAGCTCTCCGTTCGGCAAAAAAATAAACGCGAACGCGTGCGTACGCACCGACCCGGGGGTGTATATGAGTGACACCAAAGACAAAGATTCCCCGAATAGCCTTTAACAGACTGTTGGGGGCAAGTGCTTGTTAGGGGGTGGGCGGGCAGCACCACGTCCAGGCGTCTTTGTCTCCCCCCCCCCCTGCTGATGTTTTACACACCGCGCCAGGTACAGTTTGTGGGTGTACCCAGGACAAATATCCCCCTTATGTAGCCTGTAACAGTCTGTTGGAGCACGTGCTGTTAGCGAGTAGCAGCAGCACCTGTGAAGGCCGGGCACTGTGGCACACGAGGGAGTGGGGTGGAACAGCACCACACCCGGCCGGTATTTTTGAAACTTCAGACGCGAGCACCCAAAGATTAGATGTTCATTTACGGTGGCGCTTAAAGGGCCGTCTCGGCATTTCTAAGACGCAGTAACATTGCAACAACTCATCTCAACCGTTCGATAAACACGGCTGGCTCCGTACGGTGACGATAAAAGTTCAGCGTGCGTAAACACAGATGGAACAGAGTGCTTGGTGGTGGTGATGATGCTGGTGCTGCTGCTGCTGCGTTGGCAAGACGCGCACAAGCACAAATAACATCAACAACAACATAAATCCTCAACACATCCCGTCAATAATCACAGCGTGTGGCCTAAAAAGACCATATTTATGAATTACATTTGTTATTATGTCACAGTGTATATTACCCGTTCTTTCTCCATTAAAAACCATAGTCCCATATAACATTTTTCGAAACACCCTGTGTGACCAACATTACACGCGTCTCAACTTAAAGTAAATACAAATAGTGACATTGTCCGGAATGAGAGGGTCCAGATAATAAGACGCACCCCAAACTTGCACCCGGTGTTGGTAAAAGTTATACAGATCTGACCACAAAGACAAAGATCCCCCGTATAGCCTTCAAACTAATGTTGGGGCAAGTGCTGTTAGCGAGCACCTATCTAAGAAGGGAATCGAACGCGGGTCGCAGTGCGCTGACATACCACCGCTTCCCACAAATCTAATCACACACACGGCGGCACAAAGACAAAGATCCCCCGTATAGCCTTAACAGATTGTAGGGGCAAGCGCTATTAACGAGCACCTATAAAGGCCGGCACGGCACACGAGGGGGTGGGTGGCCAACACCACGCCGGCCGCCGTTGTCTCCCCAGTGGCGATGTTTACACATCGCACCAGGTACTCATTTGAGGCTGAGTCGACCTAGGGGAGGCCCAGGACCAGTTCAGATAATCGTCACTGGTGTTGGCAATGAGCGGGAATCGAACCCGGGTCGCCAGGTTCAGTAGTGCAGCGCGCTACCGCTCCCCGCACAGCGACACACACACACCGGTTGTAATAGGTGTGTGTGTGTGAGATATACTGTGTATTGTATAGGCTGATGCGGGACATCAAAGGGACCGTGCAACACAATGCACTGTTGTACTGAACCCCCCGCACCCCCCCTCTACGCTTCCCACCTTCATCGGCAACGTGGCCACGAGGTGCGCTCGAACGTAACCGCCGCGACGCGACGCGGCGTGGGGAGGAGGCCCTCGTCCAGCAGTGGACTGACGCAGAGCGCTGTTGTGCACGCGCGTGCGTAACAGCGTGTCCACGTGCACACGCGCGTGCGTAACAGCGTGTCCACGTGCACACGCGCGTGTGCGTAACAGCGTGTCCACGTGCACACGCGCGTGTGCGTAACAGCGTGTCAACGTGCACACGCGCGTGTGCGTAACAGCGTGTCAACGTGCACACGCGCGTGTGCGTAATAGCGTGTCCACGTGCACACACGCGCGTGCGTAACAGCTGTGACGCGTGCGCGCGCAACAGCGTGCACGCGTATGCGTAACTGGGAGCCCCGTATCAGACGTTGCAAGGGATTGAGAAACCACAAAGGGCGCTGTGGTCACGGGCGCGCCCAGCCGGGCGGTCGTCTGCGCTCGCAACCGACGTGGCTCATGGGGCGCGTTGCGGGCACGGCCAACCAAAAAGACCAAAACCCACCCCCCCTCCATCCCTGGTCGCCGCCGTGTCGCCTTGACAGACCGTAGGGGCTAAGTGCTGTTAGCGAGCAACAGTGAAGCCTGGCACTGTGGCACACGTGGGGGAGTGGGTGACCAACACCACGCCCTGCGGCTGATATTTACACACCGGACCAGGTACTGAGTTAAGGCTGAGTCGACCGAAGGGAGGCCCGGGACCGGTTCGAATATCAGCGGAGTGCGTAAACCACTGCGCCGCAACGGCTTCCCACTGCGGGTTCCAAAGCTAAAGATTCCCCCCGTGTAGCCTTAACATACTGTAGGGACAAGTGCTCTTAGCGAGTAGCACTTATGAAGGCCGGCTCGGTACACGAAGGGAGGTGGGTTGGCTAGCCCCACGTCCGGCCGCCTTTGTCTCCCCAGTGGCGATGTTGATGCGATGTTTACACATCGCACCAGGGACTCATTTGAAGCTGAGTCGACCTCAGGACCGGTTCCGATAATCGTCACCGCTGTTGCCCGCGAGCGGGAATCTAACTCGGGTCGCCGCTCCACCACCGCCCGCTCCGAACGATCGCCATCACCGCCACCACAATCACAACGACACCTGGGGATAGCAAAGTATCTTAATCTCCTCTACCTGTTCACGTTTCCGACCTGTTCACATTTCCGCCGATACCTGAGTCAGAATCAGAATCTGTGATCAGAATCGGTATAAGACAAGAGGAGTGGTTCTTCACTTTTACTGGAGCCCTGAACCCCTTTTTGTTGTCAATCATTAATAATTATTTTACAATGTTAATAAATACGGAGGGGTTTAATGAAACAAAGTGAGTTGTAACTTAACCGTGCCCCTGCTCAATTTGTGTTTTCGACGATTTACCTTCCACAAAATTCTGGCTGTGTCTCGCTACCCCCAGAAAGGGCATCTCGCACTCCCGGTGGGTGCACCTCAGGTCAAGGAGAACCACTGGAAGAAAGGAATCCGATGAGCTATGAAGCTCTTTATCACAGTTGTCCAGTCGGGGTGGGTCCCACGCGGGCGTGAGTCAGATATGCGCAAAGAACGTGGAAAACTGACACACACGCACACAGTCAAGATTAGGTTTATTTAATTTATTAACTTATCAAACGTTTCACAGCTTAATCTTTACAAGTAGTGACAAAGGTACATTGGCGGTCGGGGCTATGTTTGATCTCCGTTCCACAATCGTAGCCGCCAGGCGGAGCTTGCACCGACCCGCGCCGCCAGGCGCGACGGGCAATGGTCCGCTCGGAAATCTCGCAGAAACAAGTGGACCACCTTGTGCTGGCTGGAGAGAGAGAGAGAGACGAGGGCTGTTCGCCAACGTGGAGAGGGTGGAACCGAAATGGCAGTCCTTAGAGATGGAATTTCAGCCAAATTAAGTTGAGACCCGCATTTGAACGTGATGGCGTGTGTGTGAGATCATCAACTCAATGATTCCAGTTTAATTACAGCTTCGTCTATGGGTCTTTTTGTGAGGCTGTGCCTTTGTGTGAGTCGATGGGTCTCTGTGTGAGTTTATGGGTCTGTTGTGAGTCTATGGATCTCTGTGTGAGTCTATGTGTCTTTGTGTGAGTCTGTGGGTCTCTGTTGTGAGTCCATGGATCTCTGTGTGAGTCTATGGATCTTTGTGTGAGTTTATTGGTCTCTGTGTGAGGCTATGGGTCTTTGTGTGAGTCTGTCTTTGTGTGAGTCTATGGGTCTCTGTGTGAGTCTGTGAGCCTGTGCGAGTCTGTGGGTCTCTGTGCGAGTCTGTGTGTCTCTGTGAGAGTCTGTGTGTCTCTGTGTCAGTCTATGGGTCTCTGTGCGAGTCTGTGTGTCTCTGTGCGAGTCTGTGTGTCTCTGTGTGAGTCTATGGGTCTCTGTGTGAGTCTGTGAGTCTGTGCGAGTCTGTGGATGTCTGTGCGAGTCTGTGGATTTCTGTGCGAGTCTGTGTCTCTGTGCGAGTCTGTGTGTCTCTGTGTGAGTCTATGGGTCTCTGTGTGAGTCTGTGCGTCTGTGCGAGTCTGTGGGTCTCTGTGCGAGTCTGTGTCTCTGTGTGAGTCTATGGGTCTCTGTGTGAGTCTGTGAGTCTATGCGAGTCTGTGGGTCTCTGTGCGAGTCTGTGTCTCTGTGCGAGTCTGTGTGTCTCTGTGTGAGTCTATGGGTCTCTGTGTGAGTCCCTGGTGACCGGGCAGAGAGCCCGGTGCAATCACGCTTTGGTGAACATGACCTTCGCACTCCGGAGGACTGTCATCAGTGCCGGCCTCAGGATCGCCGCCTGACCTGTCCATTGTGACCCCACTGAGCCACACGCTCACCGAGTGGCCGCGATGTCTCTCGAATCCCCGCGCGTCCGACGCGGCGGACGTTGTAAACAAATCTCGCGCCTCCTCGCGAAACTCCCTTCCCCAAAACGTTTTAAAAACAACAACAACAAAAAGAAACTCCTCGTATCGGTTCAAATGTAACTTATGTTGGGTTAGATTCTCTTCTCTACAGTAGAGTAACGTCACGTTATTATTATTACTTTTAACAACGAAACTCCTCGGAATTCCTTCCAACCGTCTCTTCCCCCACCCCCCAAACTCTTTACAAGGACAAACCTCGCTTGATTTGACACGTGCGCCACACACGCGCACACCCAATCTCATCCACCGGAACTTTGACACGCGTCGCAATGGCCATGACGTTTTTCGGGAGACCCTTTTCCGAAACCTGCCGCGTTCGGCACGCCGCGCAGGACGCGCGCCCAGAACGATCGACGGCGTTCTAGAGCAGGACCAGGAGGTTGAGACGTCTCGTCCGCAAGACGTCCAGCGAAAGACCGAAGATGCGGAACAGGGGACGCGGTCTCAGGGGGAAAGGACATTGCTGACGATGACGCGAAGATGCGGTGCGTCACCACGGCGTGAGGAGTCCTTCGTCCAGCAGTGGACTGATCATGGTTGCTCCTGCTGCTGATGATGATGATGAATAATGGATGATACCTGTATGGACACCACCCTCTACTGTACGTGGGATACACAGACAACAACAACAACTAAGCCCGCTTGTGGTGGAGGCTCCTCCACTGCCCACCCCCCAACTCCACGTTCCCATTGTCAGTAAACATCGCTGGAGCTGCCCGGGACATAGCTCCGGAAAATACCCCCCCCCCTTCTCCCTCTACCTCCTCCCGGAAACACAAATATCCCATAAGAAATGAACCCTTGCTGGGTAGCGACCAGGGCTTGAGATCAAACTACGTCCACGCTCTTCTCATTTCTGCCCGGCGGCGGCTGCTGCTGCTTCTGCTGCTTCTGCTGCTTCTGCAGATGCTGCGCTTTGAACCGCTTCTTGATGAAGGCCGCCAGGGCCTGCACGCCGTCTCTGAGGCCGTGTCCCGTCGGCACGCTGCACGCCTTCACCACCCAGTCGCGGCCCTTGCACGACTGGGCCAGGCCCAGCGCCTCGCCCACCTCGTCGGCCCCCAAGGCCCCCGGCAGGTCCTGCTTGTTGGCCATCACCACCAGGGGAGCCCCGTCGAGGTTGCTATCGCTCAGGGCCACGACCAGGGCCTCCTTGGCGTAGGGGATTCGCTCCACGTCCGCGCTGTCCACCACGAACAGGAGGCCGTCCGTGCCCGGGTAGTAGTGCGACCACATGTTCCTCAGCAGGTCCTGGCCGCCCACGTCCCACATGGAGAGGCCCGGGCTGCGGCCGCTCTGCATCACCGACTCGACGTTGAAGCCGATGGTGGGGCTCGTGGTGACCTCCTCGCCCAGCTTGAGGCGGTAGAGCATCGACGACTTCCCGGCGCCGTCCAGACCCAGGAGCAGCACCCGCGGCTGCGCCTTGTTCACCGCGCCCTTGGACGTGACAATGCCCATCGTGAAAGCGGGGATCGCACCCGTGCCTCCTGTTGTTGAGCACGCAGGGGGGTCGGGGAAGAGAGTGGGGGGGGGTGAAGGGAAATGCATCGTTGGTTGTTACTCAAGCCGTGCGTTAGCGGCGTAACGGTCTGTCTCCATCTGCTGTGATGAAGGGCCATTGCCCGAAACGTCGCTTTACTATATATACTTTGATTTCGAAGCTTCCGTGACTGCAGGAATCCATACTCTTTGGTTCTTTCGGTAAAGTCACGTAGGTAGAAAATAAAAATACATTTTATTTTTAATTTTATACCTACGTATATAGCTTGTTTTGTTTTCTTTGTAAGCCCACACACCGTGGTATGGATACGAAGAATGTTGAGTTGTGTTGTTATTTGCTCAACCACTGCCAACGCAAGCAGCATCACCACCACCACCAGCACCACCAAATAATTGAACCGAACGTCATTAAGAACCAAACAAAACTCTAGAGGGACTCTACATCGTGCGCCTTTTGGCGTCCTCTGGTTTAACAACGTTTGAGACGAGGCTCAAAAGAAAGCTGTCTCTGGTGTGGACCAATCAGTTTCAAGGACAATGCATCATATTATCAGAGTGTATTTTCTTGTTTGCATTCTGACCACAAGTATTGTGGTTAATGCAGACATGATTCCTCGTAAAAGGTTTCAGTTTGGTGTAACATCTTAACACAGCTGTTTTGTTGCCAGAAAAAAAGGGGAAAACCTATTTTCTAGACGGACTCTCTCGAGTGTGTTAAACGGATGGTCCCGTTCAGCCAGATCCGTGGTGAGTGAGCACAGCGGCGGCAACACAAACAAAAGACAAAAAAAACATCGACATTGCAGACAGCGAGGACGGCAGAGGTTCTGAAAAGATATTGAACAACTAGCAGGCGAAACGTACGCGTTAAAGCAGAACTCTCAACCGGTTTCGACATGCAGTGTCTCATCAGCAGAGTAGTAGTAGTGGTGGTAGTAGTAGTGGTGGTAGTAGTGGTAGTAGTAGTGGTGGTGGTAGTAGTGGTGGTAGTAGTAGTAGTGGTGGTAGTAGTGGTAGTAGTATTGGTGGTAGTAGTGGTGGTAGTGGTGGTGGTAGTAATGGTGGTAGTAGTGGTGGTGGTAGTAGTGGTGGTGGTGGTAGTAGTGGTGGTAATGGTGGTGGTAGTAGTGGTAGTAGTAGTGGTGGTGGTAGTAGTGGTAGTAGTAGTGGTGATAGTGGTGGTAGTGGTAGTGGTGGTAGTAGTGGTGGTAGTAGTGGTGGTAGTAGTGGTAGTGGTGGTAGTAGTGGTGGTAATGGTGGTGGTAGTAGTGGTAGTAGTAGTGGTAGTAGTAGTGGTGGTAGTAGTGGTAGTGGTGGTAGTAGTGGTGGTAATGGTGGTGGTAATAGTGGTAGTAGTAGTGGTAGTAGTAGTGGTGGTAGTAGTGGTAGTAGTAGTAGTGGTGGTGGTAGTAGTGGTAGTAGTAGTGGTGGTAGTGGTGGTAGTAGTGGTGGTAGTAGTGGTGGTAGTGGTGGTGGTAGTGGTAGTAGTAGTGGTGGTAATGGTGGTGGTAGTAGTGGTAGTAGTAGTGGTGGTGGTAGTAGTGGTGGTAGTAGTGGTAGTGGTGGTAGTAGTGGTGGTAATGGTGGTGGTAGTAGTGGTAGTAGTAGTGGTAGTAGTAGTGGTGGTAGTAGTGGTAGTAGTAGTAGTGGTGGTGGTAGTAGTGGTAGTAGTAGTGGTGGTAGTGGTGGTGGTAGTGGTGGTAGTAGTGGTGGTAGTGGTGGTGGTAGTAGTGGTGGTAGTAGTGGTGGTAGTAGTGGAAGTGGTAGTGGTGGTGGTAGTAGTGGTGGTAGTAGTGGTGGTAGTGGTGGTAGTGGTGGTAGTAGTGGTAGTAGTAGTGGTGGTAGTAGTAGTGGTGGTAGTAGTGGAAGTGGTAGTGGTGGTAGTGGTGGTGGTAGTAGTGGTGGTAGTGGTGGTAGTGGTGGTAGTAGTAGTGGTGGTAGTAGTGGAAGTGGTAGTGGTGGTAGTGGTGGTGGTAGTAGTGGTGGTAGTAGTGGTGGTAGTGGTGGTAGTGGTGGTAGTAGTGGTAGTAGTAGTGGTGGTAGTAGTAGTGGTGGTAGTAGTGGTGGTAGTGGTGGTAGTGGTGGTGGTAGCAGTGGTGGTAGTGGTGGTGGTGGTAGTAGTGGTGGTAGTGGTGGTAGTGGTGGTAGTAGTGGTAGTAGTAGTGGTGGTAGTAGTAGTGGTGGTAGTAGTGGAAGTGGTAGTGGTGGTAGTGGTGGTGGTAGTAGTGGTGGTAGTGGTGGTAGTGGTGGTAGTAGTAGTGGTGGTAGTAGTGGAAGTGGTAGTGGTGGTAGTGGTGGTGGTAGTAGTGGTGGTAGTAGTGGTGGTAGTGGTGGTAGTGGTGGTAGTAGTGGTAGTAGTAGTGGTGGTAGTAGTAGTGGTGGTAGTAGTGGTGGTAGTGGTGGTAGTGGTGGTGGTAGCAGTGGTGGTAGTGGTGGTGGTGGTAGTAGTGGTGGTAGTAGTGGTAGTGGTGGTAGTAGTGGTGGTAGTGGTGGTAGTGGTGGTGGTAGTAGTGGTGGTAGTAGTGGTAGTAGTAGTGGTGGTAGTAGTGGTGGTAGTAGTGGTGGTAGTGATGGTGGTAGTAGTGGTGGTAGTAGTGGTGGTAGTAGTGGTAGTAGTAGTGGTGGTAGTAGTGGTAGTAGTGGTGGTAGTGGTGGTAGTAGTAGTGGTGGTAGTGGTGGTGGTAGTAGTGGTGGTAGTAGTGGTAGTAGTAGTGGTGGTAGTAGTGGTAGTAGTGGTGGTAGTGGTGGTGGTAGTGGTGGTAGTAGTGGTGGTAGTAGTGGTAGTAGTAGCGGTGGTAGTAGTGGTGGTAGTGGTGGTAGTAGTGGTAGTAGTGGTGGTAGTAGTAGTGGTGGTAGTAGTGGTGGTAGTAGTGGTAGTAGTAGTGGTGGTAGTAGTGGTGGTAGTAGTGGTAGTGGTGGTAGTGGTGGTGGTAGTAGTGGCGGTATTAGTGGTGGTAGTGGTGGTAGTAGTGGTAGTAGTAGTGGTGGTAGTAGTGGTAGTAGTAGTGGTGGTAGTGGTGGTGGTAGTGTTAGTGGTGGTGGTAGTGGTGGTGGTAGTGGTAGTAGTAGTGGTGCTAGTGGTGGTGGTAGTGGTAGTAGTGGTGGTAGTGGTGGTGGTAGTGGTGGTAGTAGTGGTAGTAGTAGTGGTGGTAGTGGTGGTGGTAGTAGTGGTAGTAGTAGTGGTGGTAGTAGTAGTAGTGGTGGTAGTAGTAGTAGTGGTGGTAGTGGTGGTGGTAGTGGTAGTAGTAGTAGTGGTGGTAGTAGTAGTGGTAGTAGCAGTGGTAGTAGTGGTGGTAGTAGTGGTGGTAGTAGTGGTGGTAGTGGTGGTGGTAGTGGTGGTGGTAGTGGTGGTAGTGGTGGTGGTAGTGGTAGTAGTAGTGGTGGTAGTGGTGGTGGTGGTAGTAGTAGTGGTGGTGGTAGTAGTGGTGGTAGTAGTGGTGGTGGTGGTGGTGGTAGTAGTAGTGGTAGTAGTAGTGGTAGTAGTAGTGGTGGTGGTAGTGGTGGTAGTAGTGGTGGTAGTGGTGGTAGTGGTAGTAGTAGTGGTGGTAGTGGTGGTAGTGGTGGTGGTAGTAGTAGTGGTAGTGGTGGTGGTGGTAGTAGTGGTGGTAGTAGTGGTGGTGGTAGTGGTGGTAGTAGTGGTAGTAGTAGTGGTAGTAGTAGTGGTGGTGGTAGTGGTGGTAGTAGTGGTGGTAGTGGTGGTGGTGGTAGTGGTGGTGGTGGTAGTAGTAGTGGTAGTAGTAGTGGTAGTAGTAGTGGTGGTGGTAGTGGTGGTGGTGGTAGTGGTGGTGGTAGTAGTGGTGGTAGTAGTGGTGGTGGTGGTGGTAGTAGTGGTGGTAGTAGTAGTGGTAGTAGTGTTGGTGGTAGTGGTAGTGGTGGTGGTGGTAGTGGTGGTGGTAGTGGTGGTAGTGGTGGTGGTAGTAGTGGTAGTGGTGGTAGTAGTAGTAGTGGTGGTGGTAGTGGTGGTGGTAGTGGTGGTGGTGGTAGTGGTGGTGGTGGTAGTGGTGGTGGTGGTAGTGGTGGTAGTGGTGGTGGTAGTAGTGGTGGTGGTAGTGGTGGTGGTGGTAGTGGTGGTGGTGGTAGTAGTGGTAGTAGTGGTGGTAGTGGTGGTAGTGGTGGTGGTAGTAGTGGTAGTAGTGGTGGTAGTAGTGGTGGTGGTAGTGGTGGTGGTGGTAGTGGTGGTGGTGGTAGTGGTGGTAGTGGTGGTGGTAGTAGTGGTGTTAGTAGTGGTAGTAGTAGTGGTGGTAGTAGTGGTGGTGGTAGTGGTGGTGGTGGTAGTGGTGGTGGTGGTGGTGGTGGTAGTGGTGGTAGTGGTGGTGGTAGTAGTGGTGGTAGTGGTGGTAGTAGTAGTGGTGGTAGTGGCGGTGGTAGTAGTGGTGGTAGTAGTGGTAGTAGTAGTGGTGGTAGTAGTGGTAGTAGTGGTGGTAGTGGTGGTGGTGGTAGTGGTGGTAGTAGTGGTGGTGGTGGTCGATGCTATCCAACAAAAATGGCCCACAAAGCGAGACCGCACGAGGAGACAACCGCCTGCCGAGTAGCGCACACAGCACACACAGCACACACACAGTACACACACAGAACACACAATACACACACAGTACACACACTCAGTACACACACAGCACACACAGTACACACACAGTACACACACAGCACACCCACACAGTACACACACAGCACACACACAGTACACACACAGCACACCCACACAGTACACACACAGCACACACACAGTACACACACAGCACACCCACACAGTACACATACAGTACACACACAGCACACACACAGTACACACACAGTACATACACAGCACACCCACACAGTACACACACAGCACCCACACAGTACACACACAGTACACACACTCAGTACACACACAGCACACACAGTACACACACAGCACCCACACAGTACACACACAGCACACACAGCACCCACACAGTACACACACAGTACACACACTCAGTACACACACAGCACACACAGTACACACACAGCACCCACACAGTACACACACAGCACACACATAGTACCCACACAGTACACACACAGCGCACACATAGTACACACACAGTACACACACAGCACACCCACACAGTACACACACAGCACACACACAGCACACACACAGTACATACACAGCACACCCACACAGTACACACACAGTACACACACAGCACACACACAGTACACACACTCAGTACACACAGCACACACACAGTACACACACAGCACACACACAGTACACACAGTACACACACAGTACACACACACACACAGTACACACACTCAGTGCACACACACAGTACACACACAGTACACACACTCAGTACACACACACAGCACACCCACACAGTACACACACAGTACACACACAGCATACACACAGTACACACACAGTACACACACACACACACAATACACACACTCAGTGCACACACACAGTACACACTCAGTAAACACACGCAGTACACACACACAGTACACACACAAAGTACACACACGCAGTACACACACAAAGTACACACAGTACACATAGTAACACACACAGTACACACAGCACGTACACACAGCACACACACAGTACACGTACACAGTAACACACACACGGTACACACACGCAGTACAATATTGTCCCACGTCCGGTCGCATAGCCGGATGTCGAGTGAATTCAAACCGCATCGAGGAGGTAACTTTGAGTAGAAGTTGGGTAGCCGCGTGTACAGAGAAGCCGCACAAACAGAACCCCCCATAGGGCGAGGGAGTCGTTGTACTCCAGCTGTAATAATCATGATGATGATAAATGATATATGCTCTAATGGCATTTGTCCGGGAAAGCGTCTCAAGACAAATGTTAAGGAGGGTCTTGCAATGGACTTGTTTGACCCCATGGCACGCACGAGTTCCGTGTTATGATGGAGTATGATTGGCGTGGAGCGGTGGCGCAGTGGTTAGCGCACTTTGCTATGAATCCCCAGTGGCCTGCTGTGCTCGATTTCCCAACCACGGCTATCAACAGCGGCGAGTGATATCTGTGCACCGTTTCTGCGTCTCTCCCCTCCCACCTCCTTCACCAACCCGCACTGACCAGCGGGGTGAAGTATGGTCACTTAACCCCCCATAACCCACACTGCGTGGGGAGGCCTTCATCCTGAAACGGATTAGCTAAGAACTGTTCGTAAAGAAATCCAAAGACAAAGATGTCCCCGTGCAGCCTACATCACAGGGTTGACTGCGTGTTAACCGTGGCTGGGAGTTGAACTCGTGTTAAAATCCGGATTTGGGTAGCACAATGGGTCTGAACACGCACACAACAATCGAAACTTCCCACGTTAGGTTAACACGTCGTAAGCTTTCGCGACCAATATTATCCATAATAGAGGGTGGGGGGGGGGTTTGGGTAGGATCGCGTAAATGTATAAATGTGTCGTTAAAACCCGCCACCACCCGACACAGCCAACTAGTAAGGGGTTGTCACGTAAACAGAACGTGGCCAATTCGTCACTAGTACAGCACACCCGTTGTGTGTTGGCTTGGCTCTCCAACACACAACCGGTGTGCTGTACTAGTGACGAATTGGCACGCTCTGTTTACGTGACACCCCACGTTTATCCTTGAGCAGGATGTTGGGCGAAGCGACGATGTTAGAGAGAGAGAGAGACATTCCGGCACAGCGCATCGCATCGCTGGAGTGGCCTTGTGACCATTTGGTGTTCGCCGTGGTTGGGAATCGAACCCGGGGAGGTGGCAACCGCTGCGTCCATCGCTCTCACCAACCACAACAAGCGACAAATGAACTCCCGCATAGCCTTTGACGGACTGTTGGGGCAAGTGTTGTTTGCGAGCACCTATGAAGGCCGGCACGGCACACGAGAGAGGGGGGTGGGTGGTCAGAACCACGCCCGACCGCTTTTGTCTCACCCATTGGCGATGATTTACACACCGCGCCAGGTACTCATTTAAGGCTGAGTCGACCTTGGGGAGGCCCAAACATTCGTCACCGATATTGGCCGTGAGCAGGGGATCGAACCCGGGTCCAGCCAGCGGTGGTGGTAAGCGCAGCGGGCTGACCACTGCGCCGCCGCTACCATCGAACACATCACAGCTACACACGCATGTCGTACATCATACGTACGCGGATGTCAATGCAGGAATGTCGTCCGCAGCAATGGTAGTTGCTGAAATGAGCCGAGCCTTCGGTGTGTGTATTTATATATAGAGAGAGAGAGACAGCCCAGGTGTGTGTTTATATATAGAGAGACAGCCCAGGTGTGTGTTTATTTATAGAGAGAGAGAGACAGCCCAGGTGTGTGTTTATATATAAAGACAGCCCAGGTATATATATAGAGAGAGACAGCCGAGGTGTGTGTTTATATATAGAGAAAGACAGCCCAGGTATATATATAGAGAGACAGCCCAGGTGTGTGTTTATATATAGAGAAAGACAGCCCAGGTATATATATAGAGAGACAGCCCAGGTGTGTGTTTGTATAGATAGAGACAGCCCAGGTGTGTGTTTATATATAGATAGAGAGAGACAGCCCAGGTGTGTGTTTATATATAGAGAAAGACAGCCCAGGTGTGTGTTTAAATATAAAGACAGCCCAGGTATATATAGAGAGACAGCCCAGGTGTGTGCGTGTGTGTGGAGTGAGCCCAGCGCCAGTCTGCGGCGATCGGCAAGCGTCTACCTAGGTATATACCAAGGTGCGGTGCGTGTCTCTGTACGCGTGCGTGTGATTGTGACCCACCCACGCTCTCTGTCGTGTCACTCAGCCGCCCCTGTCGCTATCAGCGCCCCCACTGAACCCTATTCCACCACATGGGGCCTTTACCGGTCAAAGTCAAGGGACAGGGGGGAGGAAGGGGTGGTCGTGAAAGTGGTGGGGTAGTGTCTGTGTGTGTGTCTGTGTGTGTGTGTCCGTGTGCGTGGGGAGCGGTAGTGTAGTGGTTAGCGCTACGCTGCGCTACGAACCCGGCGACCCGAGTTCGATTCCCTCTCGCGGCCAGCACCGTTGCATTAGCCACCCGTCGCTGAACCGGTCCTGGGCCTCCCCGAGGTCGACTCAGCCTTAATTGAGTACCTGGTGCGGTGTGTAAACAAAAAAATGCATTGCCGTGCCGGCCTTCATAAGTGCTCGCTAACAGCACTTGCCTCAACAGTCTGTTGAGGCTACACGGGAAATCTTTGTGGGCAAGGGAAGAACCAGTCATTTGAGTCAACCAAGACCGGTGCAGATAATCGTCACTGGTGTTGGTGACCGTGAGCGGGACTCGAACTCGGGCGGCTGGGTTCGTAGCGCAGCGCGCTAATCACTACACTACCGCGCCTAGTGCGCGGTGCAAATATCGTCACTAGGGAGACAAAGGCGGCCGGGCGTGGTGCTGGCCACCCACCCCTTCGTGTGCCGTGCAGGCCTTCAGAGAGACTGCTTGCTCGCTCACAGCACTTTTACCCAAAATCCTGGTAGAGGCTTTGTCGTTGGCAGGGTGTGTGGGCTGGGTGTGTGGGCAGGCTGTGTGTGTGTGGCTGTGTGTGTGAGCAGGGTGTGTGTGTGTGGCTATGTGTGTGTGTGGCTGTGTGTGTGTGGCTTCAGGTCTTCTCGGCCACGGTCATTCCCTCCCTTCTTTACGCTTGCGAAACGTGGACCCCCCTAATGGAACATCTTCGCCGGTTAGAAACATTTAGGCTGACCTGCCTACGATCCATCCTGGGTTTAACCAGACTGGATTGTGTGAGGAGCTCACAAATCCTTGAAAGATCTGGGCAGGGTCCCATCGGTGAGCTCCTCCGGCAGGCAAGGCTGAGATGGCTGGGTCATGTAGCCCGCATGCCCAGCCACCGCATGCCGAAACAGCTTTTGTTTGGCCGGATTGAGGGGGCTAAGCGGGCGCGGCACGGGCTAGAGAAGAGATGGAGTGATGTGGTACAGGAGGACGTGGAGCTGAGTGGACTTGCCGATGACTGGTACCAGCGGTGTCAAGATCGGCCTCTGTGGAGGAGGCTCGTGAAGAATGCTACTGGGCAGTTGGAGGCAGTCGCCCTCCAACAACAACGGAGGGCGGAGGAGCGACGCTCACAACAGCGAGCGGAGCGCCGGGTGGCTAAAGCACAGCAGGTTGGCACAGTAGGGGGCACAGGTGGTGCATCAGCCAGTCATCTCAGTCAGTCGACCCGTGGCACCTGGGTCTGCCCCGTGACCTCCTGCCAGCGGGCGTTCGACACTTCACGTGGCCTCAGGGTGCACATAGCCTGGCACAAGCGTCGTGGTGACGTCACCGCCACTTAGTGGCGAATGGCGGTTGTTGTTGTTGTTGTGTGGCTGTGTGTGTGTGTGGCTGTGTGTGTGTGTGGGCAGGCTGTGTGGCTGTGAGTGTGTGTGGGCAGGGTGTGTGGGTTGGGTGTGTGGCTGTGTGTGTGGCTGTGTGTGTGAGCAGGGTGTGTGGCTGTGAGTGTGTGTGGGGAGGGTGTGTGGGTTGGGTGTGTGGCTGTGTGTGTGTGTGGGCAGGCTGTGTGGGTTGGGTGTGTAGCTGTGAGTGTGTGTGAGCAGGGTGTGTGGCTGTAAGTGTGGGGGAATGTGTGGAGCGGTGGTGTTGCGCTGCAAAGCACGGCGAGCCGAAATCGATTCCCGCTCACGCCTTCTCCGAACCGGTCCTGGGGTTGAGTCACCCTTCAAAGGAGTAGGCGGTGTGCTGTGTCAACATCGTCACTGGGAAGACAAAGGCGACGGGGCGTGGTGCTGGCCACCCACTCCCGACGCGTACCGTGCCGGCCTTCAGAGGTGCCCGCTAACAGCACTTGCCCCCCACAAGTCTATTAAGGGGTATCTTTGTCTTTGTGTTCATAGTTGTGTAGGTGTGTGTGTAGGTGTGTATGTGTGTAGGTGTGTGTAGGTGTGTGTGTGTAGGTGTGTGTAGGTGTGTGTAGGTGTGTGTGTGTAGGTGTGTGTAGGTGTGTGTGTGTAGGTGTGTGTAGGTGTGTGTGTAGGTGTGTGTAGGCGTGTGTGTAGGTGTGTGTGTGCAGGTGTGTTTAGGTGTGTGTAGGTGTGTGTGTAGGTGTGTGTAGGTGTGTGTAGGTGTGTGTGTAGGTTGTGGGGAGCGATAGTGGCGCTTTTAGCGCGCTACGCTAAGAACTTGGAGACCCGGATTCAATTCCTGCTCACGGCCAACACCCAGTGACGATTATCTGAACCGGTCCCGGGCCTCCCCTAGGTCGACTCAGCCTCAAATTAGTACCTGGTGCGGTGTGTAAACATTGCCACTAGGGAGACAAAGGCGGTCGGGCGTGGTGCTGGCCACCCACCCCCTCGTGTACCGTTCCGGCCTTCATAGGTGCTCGCAAACAGCACTTGCCCCTACAGTCTGTTAAGGCTATATGGGGGATCATTGTTTTGTTTGTTTGTGTGTGTAGGTGTACACCCAGGACCCCATTCCAACCTAAAGTGGCCTGGTCTCAGTTATCTGATGAAAGTTGCAAGCGAGAATTTCATAATAAAGGTTTTGGGTTAGATCGCGTTATTTATAAATGTGTCGTAACTCTCCACCACCCGACACGGCCAATCAGCAAAAAAAAGTGTCACGTTGACAAAAGACAAATAATTCACTACTTTAGCCCACCGGTGTGTTGAAGAGTGAATCCACAACATTTACAGTTTGAGTACGACGTTTCGCTGGTAAATACATCCAGCATCATCGGGCAATTCGCCAGAATGGTAAAGCCCTAGCTTGCTCCCAGTTTTAAATAGAGCAGCAGGGTGACGTCTGACAGCTACAGGCTTAGTGCGGCCTGGAAGCGTATTATTAAATAATACACATTACATTTTGATTTAAAGCTTTCGTGACTGCAGTAATTCATGTTCTTGGCTCTTTCGGTGGAGTCGCGTTGGGGGGAAGCAATAGAATAATAAAATATATATTTGTTGTTTTGTTGTTTCCCTTCAGCGTGGCTTTGCTGAGGGAGCTAAGAATATGAATGCACATTACAATTCCTTATAGGGGAAAGACATACTAATTAACGGATTACTAACATAGCATATAATCACTAACACACATTACAATTAATTACTAATCTACAACTCATTACTAATCATAATCATTGACTGATTACTAATCGATTATATAATTACAATACCCCACCTCCGCCTCTAATCACTGCACCTGATATGAGTTAAATGATGACGTCACCCTGCTGCTCTATTTAAAACCGGGAGCAAGCGAGGGCTTTACCATTCTGACGAATTGCCCAATGATGCTGGATGTATTTACCAGCGAAATGTCGTACTCAAACTGTAAATGTTGTGGATTCACTCTTCAACACACCGGTGGGCTAAAGTAGTGAATTATTTGTCTTTTGTCAACGTGACACTTTTTTTGCTGATTGGCCATGTCGGGTGGTGGAGGGTTACGACACATTTATAAATAACGCGATCTAACCCAAAAACCTTTATTATGAATAATATTGGTCGCGAAAGCCTACGTGTTAAACTGAGAATTTCATCATCGGGTGCGGCTGGGGTTGGCATCGTCCCTGACTCCTCCTCATGTCGAGGGTAAATGGGCGAGGTTTAGGACTGTGACTCATGCAGTTGCAATGGCTGCTTTGGGTACGCGGTCCAGACCTCCCCAGAGACCCTGGCTGACAGAGGAGGTGTTCAGGATGGTTGAGAAAAAGCCCACTGTCATCGGCTACAGAATCCCACGTCAGAGAATGAGGAGGCTTACCGCAGCCTTCGCTCAAAGGTTTGGAGAGCCGTGAGGCGCTGCAAGGATGGGTGGTGGTCGTGGATGGCTGAGGAGATGGAGTCTGCCTCAGTGGCCCGCGATCACAAATTTCTATTTAACTCCATCAAAAAAGTAACCTGCAGCGCCACACCTATTACCATCATTAGGGGAAAAAACAGAGATCCAATGTCCGACCCCCAGGAACAGGTTTGCAGATTTGCTGAGCATTTCTGTGAAGTCCTGGGGGAGGGGAAATCCCTCAGCTAGGAAAACATCGTGGCACAAAGTGGGGATGATCCTGCTGAGGCTGTGGTGCCTCAAATATTGGAGGAAGTCACCCCCTGTGAGTGGCTGGCTGAGGTGCCATCTGTTGAGGAAGTACTGAAGGTGATCCAAAGTCTGAGAACAGGAAAAGCACCGGGCAGAGATGATCTCCCAAGTGAAATGCTGAGGGAGGGTGGCGTTTGTGCACAGACTGCCTTATATGACATCATAACAACAGTCTGGACCACTGGATGGGTTCC